TTTATATTTATTTATATATATATATATATATATATATATATATATATATATATATATATATTTCAATCAATATATATTTTAAAAAGATTTATGCTTAAAAAATTGTTTGTTTAAGTTATTGTTAACGAAATATTATATCACAATTTAAATTTTTATATATTCAAACAAGTATAATAAAAAAAATAACTATATAACTTTGGACTATAAATATAATTTGATCATTTTCAGAAATTATAACCTTCAAATTTATAACAAACACTCGGTTCATTATATAAATACTTTCTATTTCTCTAAAAACATTATTATCTACTCTTCCTCTCTCTTCTCTCTAGAAATTCTCATCGGTGGCTCATTTGTTCGATGATCATGAGGCCCCTAAGTGATCCTGGCGTTAAGGGCTTCCTGTTTCACCGTTTGGTTTAGCGTTTAGAATTGGTAAGTTTCGTTCTCCAGTTTTAGTGATTTCTGGTTTTGCTGTATGCAAGGAGCAATCTTGTTTGCATGTGTTCCGCATTCTACTTCGTCCTTTTCTGATTTCATTTTGGTTCTACGGTTGGTCTTCTTTCACCAATCGGTGGTTCATAGGTGCTCTTAGGATTTTCTTGAGGTTCAAACAAATTTTCTGGAGGTGTAGAAGTTGTTCGGTTCTGTTAAAGGTAATTTAATTAAGATTTTACATGTATGAAATTTACTGTTTGGATGGTTGCATGTGTGTAATTTGAATGTTTGATTGAAATTGTGAATGTTGAAACCTGTGAACGGTTTGGAGTTCTCTGTATTAGTGTTCGGTTTGTTCTGGTTTTGAGGAAGTGAGTAGGTGAAAATGAGAGTTTGGGGTTAGGAGTGAATTTGGTCAGTGGGAAGAGTCTGAGCAAGTATAATTGAACCTGTTAGAACCCTTAAGTCTCTTTGAAATGTGTAAAAAGTAGGAAAATGGATTTTGAGTCATTGAGTTGTTGAGTATGCAGAATTTGGAGTGAAATCTAGTATATGACTCTTTGGAAGGATGTTAGGAAGATTTAGGTACCCTTGGATAGGTGCAAATTGGTATATGATTCATGTATGGAGGATTAGAAGTTAAGAAAAATGTTTAGCTTTGGTAAAGTCTAGCGTGTTCATCATTCTGCAGAATCTTGCAGAAAACTGAGCACGCGTTGTTGACCGCTCGGCCATGCGCGGATTGGCCACTCGGCCATGTTCACGGACTCGGTCATTAACTGGGTTCGGTCTCTTTAGAATTTTACCCGTTCATGATCGTTCAGTCTTAGGTGGGTACACAGTCTCTAAGTAGTGCTCGATCTTGTACTAGCACTCGGTCTCTGAGTAGTGTTCGGTCTTGTACTAGCACTCAATCTCTGAGTAATGCTCGGTCTCATACTAGCACTCAGTCTCTTAGTAGTGCTTGGTTTTCTACTAGGGTTCGGTCTAACCTTAGTCCTCGGTTTTACATTAGTATTCGGTATAAGTTATAAGTGTTCGGTTTAGCTCTGGTGATTTGGTTATTCTAGTGTTTGGGATATTCTAAATGTTCGGCAATGTTCTAGCGTTCGGTCATTAACTGAGTTCGGCCTATGCTTAGGCCTGACCGGTCATTGACTGTTCGGTCGTACTTAGGGGTTGTGTTATTGTCGTTCGGTCGTACTCATGGGTTGTGTTATTGTCGTTCGGTCTTCTTCTACGAAAGATTATTTGGTCTTTAAATGTTGATTTCACTGTTTAACTTTGATTGCTTATTATAGTTGCATTGATCTACTATGTATGAAAAATTGTATTAATATTCAAATAAGGTATGATGTTCCAATTGGTATGAAAGAGAATTCTAAGGAGGAATGACTCAGTGATTGGTTATTATGGGTGGTGGTAAAGTATGAATATGGACAGTGAAATCCACGGCATTCATCCTGACATTCTAATGATTACCAATTCTCAAATAGAGATGGGTAAGTCATGTCGTGAGAATAGCAAGAGGCCATAGTTTAAAGGGGGAGACCTTAGGTGAGGTATAACGGGCTAACCTCGTGTGGCAGCTGATGAGTTTCCAGTTACTACACCCACGGGTGCACGAACGACCTCAAACTATATATTCATACTAGTCTGGACAGTCAAGTCAAAATGGTCGGTCAATATATGTTTATATGTTTTATACATGTTGTATGAGTATCTTAGTTGATTGTTGAATTGTACTTCCACATGAATATTAAATTACACTAGCTTACCCTTGCTTTTCTGTGGTTTGTCTTTGTATGTTGTTTCTCTTTTGAGATGATCACCTTAATGGTGTGAGCTTAGAGATGCAGTTTTTTCAATGAAGCAGCTGAAGGAGGAAAGAGAAGCTTATAGTGTAGGTAGTTATTTTTGTTCTTCAGGTGAAAATTTTTATTCACAAAATCTGTAGTTCTTGTTTTGTCATTATTCATGTAATGTTTACTTTAATAGTTTTAGATTACTAAATTGGAATGTTACAGCTTGAATTTCTAAGAAAAAGAAATCTAAAAAATATCTCATTTTCATACTCTTAAACAGTCCCTGTGTGTATACTTACAAAGTTAGCACTACTTTTATTTACATTTTCTAATAGGCTCAAAATATATTAAAGGCCGAGACACGGTTATGTATATTAAAAAATTATTTATATATATATACCAATACAAGGCTAAATACTGAATCATAGAATCTAAGTTTGGCGTAAAACGTGTTCTTAAAAACAAAAACGAAGTGAATACATTCTACCAATTTCAAAATTAAGACTACATCATCACCCAGTATGGTCAGCGTCGGATACGAGATCTGAGAAACCACCAGAGCAGGGAATCAATATCTATAATACACCCCACAAAACATTACTCATCACAAAAAATTTACAATATTTAAGTTTGTCTATTCTACATTGCTCTTGTGTTTGAACCTTCTGCAATGGAAAAACAACCGTTAGCTCCAAGGCAAGAAATCCTGTAGGATTATATCAACTACTTCGATCAAACTGTCATGAATTTGTGGAGAACGTTTAGGTGCTTCCAGACCAGAACATCCATCTACGCCCACGATCAGTTTTCGTGTTGGGCGTTACGCTTATTCTACCTGCATTGGAGGAAAACCATTTACCGAAATCAGGGGATGCAACAAGTTCTTCCAAGGCTTTTTCAGTTGACTCCTTTGTGAACGCATCCCATTCTGCAGCTGAATATTTTTTTCTCTCCGGCGTGTTGTGTATGATGGACGGGTATAACGCCTCCTGTGTTTTAAGTGGCGTCCTAATGAAACCTGGAAACGCATTTGTTTAGCGTGTTAATCACTAGTCATCTCAATGTTTTTCTTCATTGATCAATGGGTAGAAAAAAAGTTGTCCAAAGGTGAAACTTTTAAAAGCACGGATACAAGAGATGCAAACCTTTAGCAGAAGATTTGCAAGGCGACAAGGTAGGGCTTTTCAGTTGTGGCTGAAAAAGTAGAGAGTCCTCTTTATTTTGCATCTTGTTGTACATATGTTCATCGTGCGAACCATCAAAAGGTGACGAGTCAGGAACCTGGGATCTCCTTCTGTTTTTCTTGGGTGATTTAAAGAAACGCCTGCAAATTTTTTCCACAATAAATACAAACCAAAAATTGAAGGTTGCATTTATTGGACCAAAAGAAGAAACTCTCATGATGACAAAGTGTAGCAACTCCCAAGGGTAAAAACAAAATAAAAAATATAAATCTCCAGATATATTTTTGTATTTAACAAAATTTGCAGCATTCTACTTAAGATTAAAACACAACGCGGTTTTAGAAAGGGAAATTGCAATTAGTAGGCCTTGAATTTGTTGAAATGATACATACATTTCCTCTTCCATTATAGAAACAACTTGAAATTCCATTGACTGATTTGATATTACTTCTTCACTAATAACTGAAATCACTGCCTAATAATGCTAATGTTATACTAACAAATGAATGTAACAGAAAATATCCCCTAATATATATATTAATTGTACATTTAATTAAGAAATTGTGGACTAACCTGCGTAAATGACGAAGGAATCTCACTCTACGCATCCGATTCAACAAGGAGAGGAGTGATCCACATAGTAAAGCCAATGTTCCTATCAGGGGATCCATAGAACTCTAGAAACAACATCTTATCAAATTTATAGTCATGTGCTTATCTTGAGCATCAACAACATAATAAAAATGTTGGGGAAGAAAATAAAAACAAAAACCTGAAGAATCATAATCGCAGCAAAAATCCTTATAGCCCACGCAACAAATTGAGCAGTGTTTATGTCCACTGATCCATCTTCAGTCAAGACAAGCTTGTGTACCACCCAGAACCCCAACCAAGCTCCAACTATTGCAACAAATGTCAGCAGAAATATTGCCAACTGCAGTTGACATTGCATAAGTTAAGTGCTGAATGATCCTCATATTTGACTATTTGTGCATTGGACAAATATAACTAACTACAAAACATATACTAGAATAGGCAAAAAAAATACTACTAAGCAATGAATACCATAGAAACCAAGAAAGAAATGACAAATTAATGAGAAATTGCAAGAAAGTATTCATTGCGTACAATGGGATCAACTCTAAAGTTGAAGAAGTTGTTCGATAGCTGAATATCCCAAATTCAGAGTCCATCTAAAACCATCTAGTTTATTTTTTCTAAGATTGACCCAACTTGTATCCATTATCCATAGTATCTTGAGACTCGTGACTAAATTGCAACAATTGGTATAAAAAATTTAAAAATACAAAGTTTAATTAGTTACCACCAAATTTTGCTAAGGAAAGGTTGGAAAAGCCTAAGTATTTTGAACTAGTAGGCAAATAAGAAAAGCTATGCTAGAATGGCTTGCTGCGTAGGGTACTGTGCGCTCACAAACTACACCCGTAGGAGAAATCAATAGTTCTCCCTTGGCAGAGGCAATTTTACAGCTTAGGTTATATACTTAGTATTAAATCCAATTGAAGAACCACATATTAAGTTTTTTTTCCACATTGACAAACCATTCTCTTTTAAGTCTCACATTACAAATATAATGCTCTTTCAACACCCCTTCCATCTCCTTTATAAGGAATCAATTATATACTATCGCCCTCACTTTTGACTTGTAATCATTCATATCTTTAGCAAGTCGCATGCCATCTTTTACATCCAGTATCTCTTTTTTTCATTATCATTAATTTTTCTCTCTTAAATGGGAGAAAATAAATGAGATCAATCTGACTTGCAGTTGTGGCAAGAGAGGAAATTAATTACTTGGAAGTAGAAATGGGAGAAGATTACATACCACAGGTTTCTGAGTTTAGACATCTAAGATAAATATTACAAAATGATGGGAAAATTAGTAATGATGTATTACACAAAAAATACAAGCGAGATGACTAAAATGAAGAAAAACATTATGGGTTATCATACCATGCTCTATGATAGTGTATGTTGAAATTTAAAGTGGCAAGAGAAAAAGGTTAGAGTACAAAAAAAAAGAGCATATTAAGACGGATGACGCAAGAAAGGACAAGATACAAAATGAAAGTATACAAGATATTAACATGACACGGATTGAAGAGATGAAAAAAAACAGTAAAGGTAATTTTGGGATTTCATGTATGAGAATGTGCCTGTAATGGATGTGAATGGTTGAGCACACAATGGACAAGCATAGCACAATGTAGGTTCCAAGAGTGGAGGGGGATTGCAATGGCATGATAGTGCCAGAATCATACTATTAACAACTACGGCTTTAATTACATAATTGTATTCCTCATGAAATGCACCTTCTGATCCTTATTCCTTCTGCTGAACTGAACTCAGGACTGTTCCTGACATAGTATTAGAAAAATTAATGTCTATTATTCATGTCATGAAATGATAGCATGGTTTTACAGATGGATGGCAATGGAAACCCTGCGTGATCATTTGTTGTGGACCATACACTCTTCAATAGCTAGCCATTCAAATTTACAGACAAAAATAAATGAGACTAACCAACACTATCATAATTCAGAATACATATGAATAAGTGAAGGATATTTTTAAGTAGCAGTCCGATGTCTAAGAAAATCAGCGGAAAACAAATAGGTGACTTACATACAGGATTATACATGTCTTCATCAATTCCTAACTCTGTAAGTACTGAACGAACTAAGCCAGGAATGTAACGGAGGAGAAAAGTACCAAAACCAACCTGATTTAAAATAATACCTGAAATTGTTAATTATATGATCCACATTGATTAGTATAAAGATGGAAGAGAAGTGCATTAAGGATAAACTTACAGCAGTTGAATACATAAATATAGCAAGGGAACTCTTACGACCAGTTGGAAGAACTTTCATTCCCTGTCAAGTTATATGCGGCAATTTCCATGTTAGTGTCAACAAAAAAATTTCGATAGACATTTAATATAAAAATTAGTTTGCAACTGAGAAGTCAAACTAATATAGAGACAATAGGAGTTTTCACTTCAACATCCAGACCACATTATAGTTTATAGATAGGTATAAATAATCCTCATTAGTTGTTCTGGTCTTCTATTTTAATTTATACTGAACAAAATTTCTTTCCAGCATGAGTCCAAATTTCTTGAGTTGGGAGGAAAGTTTTAATCACATGAAAAGATCATATCACTCTCTATCTTCCCCTTCTTTCTTTCACATATTCCTTATTTCTCACTTGTAGCTCCACTGTGTCATATCTCTATAGCACTTTTGTACACAGCCTCCTTTGACCACCGTTGCAGACTACCTCCTATGGCCTTCGCTGGTAAGAGGTCTCACCCCTCTCTTATTGTCATGGAAGCCATCTCCTCCATGTTACGTTTTCAGATAAAGGGTCTTTGTATTATTTGTCATAAGCTCACTCCCTTTATTTGTGTATCATGAAAATTTCATATTTAACTTCAAATGAGATAATCATCACATTGTTTCATCATATTTCCCATTTAAGTTTCATCTTCTATCACTTGATCCAAATGTTAAAACGATATGCTATTAAGATACTAAATGAAACATGTGATAAAAGGAAAGAAAATTAGCTTGCCTGTACATTGTTGTCATTTTCTTGATTTAATTAATTTAGTTCTTTTTCGTAACAATGTGTGATATTGCATTATATTTCTACTTAAATTTTATTACTTTTTGAAAGTAACTGGCTAATTTTTAAAATATATATATATATATATATATATATATATATATATATATATATATATTGATGCTATAGTTGAATATAATATTTTATAATGAGATTTGACTAGAAGAATATATGCAATTAAGTTATTTCACTAAAAGAATGTATCTGGGATAAAAGACACTTTATACTTGAAAAGTTCTATTGAAATAAAAAAAAAATATAAAAAATATTTTATCACCATAAAATATGTAAATATTGCCAAAAATGTTTATGACTAACGATATAAATTTTAACCATTCCTAAAATCACAATAGCCAGGATATATGATCACTTGGAAACATGATTCCACCTTTCACATGTCAAAAATTTAATACGAATTAGGCAACAAAATTTTAAATATCAACGGTGTTTATGTTGCCATGACCACTGAGATTACACAAGATGAAGAAAAATCAAAAAAACAACATCGTATAAGATAATCTACATACAAAGCAAAAGAAAAGTTTTCTTGACAAGAATTGAACTTTGAAGGTATGATTGACTACTCAACAAAACAAAAGGATTAATTATAAAGAAACTAAGATTGGTTATTACAAATTTTAAAATCGAAAATTGAGGAAAAAAAACGTTACCTGATAAAGAATAATCAGTACAACGAGAATTATTCCAATTGCCATTGCACTGCTATAGTAAAATGCTAATGAGTTACTTATAAAGGCTGCAAGGCTCATGAGAGTAATACCCAATACTAATAACACAATTCGATATACAAAAAATTCTGCAAAGGAGGGAAAAAAATATTGTTAGTGCTGGATGTAACTGTTCTTAAATGTGATCAACAGAACTTCAAAAAAATGAAACTCATATTCATCAGTAATAAATACAATATGTACATTTGGATTAGATTTTCTTTTATTTTTTGCCCCCTTCCTAACACATATTTAAAAAAAAAACAATTATTCTTCAAAAAAAAAAGCTGAAACATTTACCTTCTTCGACAGAAACCTCAAAGTTTTCCAGTGTGGATCCAGCAGTCCTTATATCTAAAATCTTGTGGTCAAAAGGAGACATTGATCGAGTCCAAGAACCCTTGGCAACCTTCTCCCACTGGCTATGTGAACACATCCCGGCTACAAGAGACACATTCCTGAACAAGACGTATAGAAATGTCTTAAATCAAATACCATGATTATTTTTCCAATAACAGTTTAGGTGACAAATAGATATAGAGCAAAGTACTAGTCCTTGAATAACCAAATGCATAAAGCACAAAATGAATGACTGTTCTGGCATGATCACTCATCAACTAAATACATAATAAGACCCTAGTTGATAGATAGTTTCATACACCACACACATGTACAATGTATGATGTACACTAGTACAAATACTCACCTATGGAAACAGACCTCTATGTTTGGCAGACGAACATTTGAGTGAGTAGGAAGTGGCAACACCTTCACTTTAAAGGAATGTGCAAATTTCCCCAGGCTTTTAAACCTTGACAATCCATGTATATAAACTCTTTCAACAAGCACAGTAGCACCAGGCTTAGAACCTGGAGAATTTCCCACAGGCAAGCCACGTGATAGCTGCAGTGTGCCATTTTGAATAAGAGCTGGAAAAAGACACGAGAATGATAAGTGAAATTTCAACATTTACATAATTATGGCACAAGATTACTTTATATATAACACCAAATATACAAACAACAATCTACGTTACTTGAAACAACAGATTCTTACAGAATATTAATATTAGTTTTTATGTTGAAAGGAAACAAAAATATTTCATCCCATCCACTACAATTGTGGGCGTACCAATAAACATTCATGAGGACTATCCTTAAGATGAAATCTTATGACAAGATAATCACTAGGAGTTTACAAGTTATTTTAACATAAGAAAGTTTAACCATAAAGAATAATGTAGAACGTCTTTTTTAGCGTTGTTGGAAAGGGAAACATAGAACGGACATTATTGGCTTGAAGTTGTTCCAAATACAAAGTTTCAACATTTTAAACAAATTTAGGGCAACTTTCTTTCCACCATTGCCTTTCCCGTCAGTGATGAAGATATTATCATCTACTATCCAGCCAATATGCTTCGAGTTCGATAATCAAATAATGTCATAAGAAACAAGAAAAAGTGTAACCAAACTTTCCGGGAAGAAAAGGCACAACCAAACCAAACCCTATATTTGAATCCATAAAACGAAAAGAAAAAAATAACAAAATTAATCAAGAAGGAAGGACAAGAATGGCATACACAAGGAATGTTCATCGGCGAATACCAGAACTGCAGAAGCCCAAAGGCAGAGCAAGTGAATAATCCAAGCAGATTGCGGGGTGTGAGAGCCCGCCATTGGCATACCAGGCTTGGCAATTGTGAGTAAAAAGAAAATACAAGGCGCGTCTTCTAAATCCGAAAAAACTTAAGGGTAATTCTGCAATTTTATTAAGCATAAATTAACCAACTCTTTTTCGGCAATTGCTGTTGGTCATCCATGATTTCTTCCTTCACCTCCTGTTAGTACTCCCTGAAATAGTAAATTTTTGGATTATACATTTTGAAGGTATTTCAGAAAAAAATTATATTTTGAAATCGGGATTCCATAATGCATTTTTTAATTGATTTTTAATCTGAATAATATATTCCACACACTCTTTGAGAAGATTTAGAGTGTTTTAAAATATTCAAGTATATTAATTTTAATTTTTAAAATTTTAAATTTTAAATGTTTTATTTAAAAAAATATTGAATTTTATATTTATATATTTTAAATAAAAAGTATCGATAAACATAAATAACAGACATTGATAAAAATGAAAATTATCCTGTAAATTTCATTTAAAAAAATATTGCCGATGTCAAAAAAATTAACTTAACGTAGGATCATTAAATTCCGACAAAAGTCAGTAGTATATAACTTCGATGTGGATGAATAAATAAATAATTCCACCAAATGACAAAAGAAAATACGAAGAAAAAAAANAAATCAAATACCATGATTATTTTTCCAATAACAGTTTAGGTGACAAATAGATATAGAGCAAAGTACTAGTCCTTGAATAACCAAATGCATAAAGCACAAAATGAATGACTGTTCTGGCATGATCACTCATCAACTAAATACATAATAAGACCCTAGTTGATAGATAGTTTCATACACCACACACATGTACAATGTATGATGTACACTAGTACAAATACTCACCTATGGAAACAGACCTCTATGTTTGGCAGACGAACATTTGAGTGAGTAGGAAGTGGCAACACCTTCACTTTAAAGGAATGTGCAAATTTCCCCAGGCTTTTAAACCTTGACAATCCATGTATATAAACTCTTTCAACAAGCACAGTAGCACCAGGCTTAGAACCTGGAGAATTTCCCACAGGCAAGCCACGTGATAGCTGCAGTGTGCCATTTTGAATAAGAGCTGGAAAAAGACACGAGAATGATAAGTGAAATTTCAACATTTACATAATTATGGCACAAGATTACTTTATATATAACACCAAATATACAAACAACAATCTACGTTACTTGAAACAACAGATTCTTACAGAATATTAATATTAGTTTTTATGTTGAAAGGAAACAAAAATATTTCATCCCATCCACTACAATTGTGGGCGTACCAATAAACATTCATGAGGACTATCCTTAAGATGAAATCTTGTGACAAGATAATCACTAGGAGTTTACAAGTTATTTTAACATAAGAAAGTTTAACCATAAAGAATAATGTAGAACGTCTTTTTTAGCGTTGTTGGAAAGGGAAACATAGAACGGACATTATTGGCTTGAAGTTGTTCCAAATACAAAGTTTCAACATTTTAAACAAATTTAGGGCAACTTTCTTTCCACCATTGCCTTTCCCGTCAGTGATGAAGATATTATCATCTACTATCCAGCCAATATGCTTCGAGTTCGATAATCAAATAATGTCATAAGAAACAAGAAAAAGTGTAACCAAACTTTCCGGGAAGAAAAGGCACAACCAAACCAAACCCTATATTTGAATCCATAAAACGAAAAGAAAAAAATAACAAAATTAATCAAGAAGGAAGGACAAGAATGGCATACACAAGGAATGTTCATCGGCGAATACCAGAACTGCAGAAGCCCAAAGGCAGAGCAAGTGAATAATCCAAGCAGATTGCGGGGTGTGAGAGCCCGCCATTGGCATACCAGGCTTGGCAATTGTGAGTAAAAAGAAAATACAAGGCGCGTCTTCTAAATCCGAAAAAACTTAAGGGTAATTCTGCAATTTTATTAAGCATAAATTAACCAACTCTTTTTCGGCAATTGCTGTTGGTCATCCATGATTTCTTCCTTCACCTCCTGTTAGTACTCCCTGAAATAGTAAATTTTTGGATTATACATTTTGAAGGTATTTCAGAAAAAAATTATATTTTGAAATCGGGATTCCATAATGCATTTTTTAATTGATTTTTAATCTGAATAATATATTCCAGACACTCTTTGAGAAGATTTAGAGTGTTTTAAAATATTCAAGTATATTAATTTTAATTTTTAAAATTTTAAATTTTAAATGTTTTATTTAAAAAAATATTGAATTTTATATTTATATATTTTAAATAAAAAGTATCGATAAACATAAATAACAGACATTGATAAAAATGAAAATTATCCTGTAAATTTCATTTAAAAAAATATTGCCGATGTCAAAAAAATTAACTTAACGTAGGATCATTAAATTCCGACAAAAGTCAGTAGTATATAACTTCGATGTGGATGAATAAATAAATAATTCCACCAAATGACAAAAGAAAATACGAAGAAAAAAAAATGTCCAACTTATATATAGTCTCTTTAGTTAATATGTCAGCTAAATAATATCTTTTGTTAGATTTAGTGCCGTCAAAATGGATTAAAACTCGTGAGTCAACTCAGCTCTTTACGGGCTTGAGTCGGGTTAGATTAAAAAAAAATACAAAATTTTTTAAGTGAGTCAATTTTGACCCGGCTCACTAAGAACCCGGCTCACACGGGTTGAACCCGTGGTGGGTCGGATTGGCTCACAACCCACATATTTTTTTTAATTAAATTAAATTAATTATTCAAATCTTATATTTTTTTATTGAAATCAAATTAATTAATTAATTATTCAAATTGCACAACCTTTACTTAGCAATAAAGTCTTTCGCGCTACTGTCTTTCCAGAAGTTTCCATCTGCAAATAAAACCCTAAGATTATACATTGGATAATATTATAGATGGAGATAAATAAGAAGATGCTTCAAGACAACATAATACTGTGGATTTATCCATTTAGGACTCCAATTTAATAGATGGATAATATTATAAATTGGATAATTCAGGAATATATCATTTGTTTTATCTTGTTTTTAGACCTATCTACAAGCATGACAATTTTATCTTGTGCTATATATTTTTGTTAACGACTATATGTAGTTTCTTAGTCAAACGGTTATGTATGTCTCATTAAACTAAATTGGCAAAATTTTATGCTTGATAGCTTAGAATATATATAACAATATATTTATTTTGTTTCATTTTCTTTTATATCAATTGGTCCAATTATTATTGTTTCAATTTGATCGATCAAAGTAACATATTATAAGAATCTAAGAAGAAGAGGGTGAAAAAAAAGTTAACTAAGTGAGCCAATGAGCCAACCCGTTTAACCCATCAACCCATGATGGCTCGGGTCAGGTTCGAATTTTTTCGGCTCGCTAATAAATGAGTCGGATTGGGTTGGCTCACTAAGTGGCCAACCCGTGGTGGGTCAGATCGGGTCAGGTTAGGTTACCCATTTTGACAGCAGAATAATATTATCACTCTATGACTTTGTTTAGCTTTGCAAAAGTCATAGGAAAACTAATTTCGTTACACTTTGTTTATTCATAAAATACAAAAAATCTTAAAAAAAATACTGACGCAAGTTGATGAATGAAAGGTTTAGGAAGGATGTTGGAAGGGTTTAGGAACAATGTAAGAAGGTTCGGGAAGGGTTTTGAAAAGGTAAATGAAAGGGTGTAATAAAAATGTAGAAAGCATGTAAGAAGAGTGTAACAAAAATATAGGAAGCGCGTAGGAAGGGTGTAAGAAGATGGTTGCAAATGTGTAAAAAGGGTGTAAGAATGATGTATAAATAGTGTAAGAAGAGTGTAGGATATAGATTGTAGGAAGGTGTGGTGTAAGATAAGTGTAGGAAATATGTAGAGTATGGTAGGAAGAGTGTTAGAATGGTGTAGGAAGAGTGTAGGAAGGGTGTGATAAGGGTAAAAAAAATGTGTTAGAAAAGTGTACAAACAGTGTAAGGTATATAAATGATGTAGAAAGGATGTTGGAATGATGTATGAAAAATGTAGAAAAAAGGTAACAAAAAAAGTGTGTAAGAAAGGTGTAAGAATACTGTAAGAAATGTGTTGAAAATGTGTAGGAAGAGTGTATGGTGTAGAATGTAAGATATATGAAGGGATTAGGAAAGGTGTAAGAAAGGTGTAAGAAGGGTGTAGTAAGGGTGTAGTAAGGGTTTAAGTTGTAGGGGGTAGGGGGTAGGGTGTAGGAAGCCTATAAGAAGTTTGTAGGAAGAGTGTAACAATGGTGTAGGAAATGTGTAAGGATGGTGTAGGAAAAGTGTAGAAAGAATGTAGGATGGTTGTAGGAAAAGTATAGAAGAGTGTAAAAATGGTATAGGATGAGTGTAAAAAGGGTGCCAAAATTATGTGTAAATGATGTAAAAAGGGTGTGTGAAGGGTGAAATAAAAGTGTAAGAATGATGTAGGGTAAGTAAGGGAAAGATATATAAAAGGTTTAGGAAGGGTGTAAGCAAGGGTATAGAAATGGATGCATAAATAGTGTGAGAATGATGTAGGTTGTAAGGTGTAGAATGTGTGTATGAAAGGTGTGGAAAAGATGTGGAAAATGTGTAGGAAAAATGTATAAATGATGTAAAAAGAGTGTATGAATGATGTAAAAATGGTATAAAAATTGTGTAGAAAGGGTGTAAGAAGAGTGTATGAAAGGTGTAAGAATTATGAACGGAAGATGTTGAAAGAGTGAGGGAATGATATATAAAAGGTGTAAGAATGTGTGTATGAATGGGTGCAAGAAGGGTTTAGGAAGTGTGTAGGTTGTACGGTGTAGGAAACATGTAAAATTGATGTAGTAAGGGTGTAGAAAATGTATAAAAAAAGTGTAAAAAACGTGTAAGAAGGGTGTAGGTTGTAGGGAGTGCGTAAGAAGGATATAAGTTGTAGGGTGTACAAAATGTGTAAGAAGGGTGTAGGTTGTAAGGAGTGCATAAGAAGGATATAAGTTGTAAGGTGTAAGAAATGTGTATGAAAGATATAAAAAAGATATAGAAAAGGTGAAAAAGTGTTAGGAAAGGTGTAAGAATGATGTAAGGTGTGGTTTTAAGAAGGGTGTTAGAATGATGCATGATGGGTGTAGGAAAGGTGTGGGAGTGGTCCAAAGATGGTGTACGAAAGGTGTTGGAAGTGTGTTGGTATGATGTAGAGTGTAGGGAAAGTGTAAGAATGGTGTACAAAGGATGTAGGATGCATGAGGGAATTATATTTAAAAGGTTTAGAAAAAAGGTAGAAATAGTGTATAAATGATGTATAAATGGTGTAAGAAACGTATAGAAAGAGTGAATGAATGATGTAAAGTGTAGAGTGTAAAATAGTGTATAAAACTTGTAGAAAGAATGTAAAAAAGTTGTAAGAAGAGTGTAAGAATGATTTATGGTCTAAAAAAGGTGTAGGGTGTATGGTGTGAAAATAATGTAAAAATGGTGTATGAAGGGTGTAAAAAGTTATACGTTTTAAAAAGGATGTAGGAGGTGTATGAAGGTTGTAAAACTGGTATAAGTTGTAAGGTGTATAAAAGGTGTATGATAACACAAAATGTGTAGAAAAAGTATAGAAAGTATAGAAAGTATATGAAATGTGTAGAAAATGTGTAAAAATGGTATAAGAAGGGTGTAAGAATAGTGTAAAGAAGGTGTATAAATGGTGTAAGAATTATGTAAAAATGATGTATGATATGTGTAGAAATGATGTAGGAGTGTGGAAAGGATGTTTGATGATTGTAGCAAGGGTGTAGGTTGTAAGATGTAGAAAATGTATAGAAAAGTGTATAGAAAAGATATATGAATGATCTAGAAAATGTATAAAAAAGGTGTAGAAAAAGTGTAAGTTGTACAATGAGTGTCGAAAAGGTTTGTGAAGGGTGTATGAATGATATAAAAATAGGTTTAATCCTTTATTACATCCCTATTTATGTACGAATTTTTCAATTGGATCCTCGTTTTTTAAAGTGTATCAAAATGGTCCCTAATTTTGAAAATTGATATCAATTGAGTCCTTTCCGTTAAGTTGGCTGGACGACGTTAAAAAAATTGATGAGTGGATGCTGAGATGACAAACGAGCGTTCGTTCGCTGGTGGACGAGCGCTCGTTCGTCATCTCAGCATCCCACTCATCAATTTTTTTAACGTCGTCCAGCCAACTTAATGGAAAGGACTCAATTGATATCAATTTTCAAAATTAGGGACCATTTTGATACACTTTAAAAAACGAGGACCCAATTGAGAAATTCGTACATAAATAGGGATGTAGTAAAGGATTAAACCTATAAAAATAATATAAAAAATGTGGGAATAATATAAAAATAATGTAAAAGATTTGTAGACAATGTGTTGAAAAACTATAGGAGATGGTGTAACAATGGTGTAAGAAGAGTATGAAAATAATGTAAAAATGATGTGAAAAGAATGTGAGTATGAATGATGTAATAATAATGTATGAAGGGTGTAAGAAGATTTTGTACTTTTAATTTATTTTATATCTTTGTTATAATACAGTAAAATAAATTTGACTAAACTTATTATTTTATAACATTTATCTATTTTATTAAACATCATTATAAAAATAATAATTTGACAAAACAAATAAATTAAACGTTTAAAATTTAAATATTATTGAACAATATTTTAATATTTAAGACAAAATTGAAAATTCACATAATTAAAATAATTATTAAAATAAACATATGAAAATGATAAAATTCAATAAAAGATTATTGATAATAAATTACAAGTTAATCAACATTTAACTCAATCAAGACTTGTTTAATCTTCAAATTAAGTATACGGAACCTAATTTTATCCACATTAAAAAAAATCAAGTTGACTTAGAAAGTTGAAATCACTCTCACATCACTATTTAATTCTTAGACATTAT